AAAAAGAAAGCCAGCCCTTAAATGTGGGTCATTCAATACTAGATTTCAAATAAAAGATCAAAATTCTGAGAAATAGAACACAGTAATTCCCACAACCCTCTCTTCCTCGCAGTGTTATCACTGGTGGCAGGACCTACCTCTTTCCTTATAGGAAGTGGAAGACTCTACAGGCATTATGTCATTAACAACACCCAAGGAGCTAAACTGGATAGGAATTAGAAGTCCTGTTTCCTGATGAGTGAACTGGAGTAGAGAGAAGGCCGGTGTCTTTCAAGTTGCATGTGCTCAAACAGAAGCTATGGATCCAGACTTCTACTATTTCTTTTTTTTTTTTTTCGTGGCTGGCCAGTACAGGGACCTGAACCCTTGACCTTGGTGTTATCCACACCATGCTGTAACCAACCGGGCTAACCAGCCAGCCCATTTTATCTTTTACGTATTTGACATTCCCCTTTTCTGTGCTTGTTCCATGCCGCATGCACACTTCACACCAATCCCATGGGGTCGTCAACCCTGTCATCCCCGTCTGAAAGATCAGGGAGGGAACTGAAAGACAGAGAAGGAAGGAACTGCCCGAGTCCCACAGCTGGTGAGTGCACAGTTTGCCCCATGTCCTGCCCACTGGGTGGTGCCTCAGAGTGCCCTGGCTCAGATCCTTCTGAGTTCAGCATGTGCGCCACCTCTGAGCTCTATGCTGAGGCTCGGGGAGAGCGTGCATCTCCGCACCTGGATGAGGCACTGAAGGGGCCTGCCCGCGTAGCGGATGCTCCTCTTCCAGTCTTTGCTGCTGGCTCTGCCAGCCATGGCTTCGAACTCGGTCGGGCTGTACCAGTTCTCCCCCTGCTTGATGCACCGCCCCCGGCCTCCTGAAACAAGGGCAGCAATCTCAGGGAACCTAGCTGGCCCACCCGCCCCAGGCCAGGCCTCTCTCCCACCTCCCTCTCCTTTTCTGCCTCCCTCTGGCTCCTCTCTGGCTGCACAAACACCAGAGCCCCCCTCCTGGCCTGTGTGAACTAACCCACTCCCAGGCTTGCCCTGACAGCTGCCGGGACAAATCTCCACCAGGAACCCACGTTGCAGGTTGTGCCTCTGACCGCCTATTTGACCTCTCCACTCCCTGCCCACATTCACTGCAAGCACAGCCATGTCCCACAGAAGCATCTGCCACTTGCAGAGTCCACAGGTCCCAAGCTGACCAGCACCTTGGGGACCTTGGAGAAGGAGTTCTAGGCGTGCCTCCCCCATCCCGTGGTTTCTCAATTTACCCCCTAAGTTGTTCTCATGCGCAGGTTGTGCCTCTGACCGCCTATTTGACCTCTCCACTCCCTGCCCACATTCACTGCAAGCCCAGCCATGTCCCACAGAAGCATCTGCCACTTGCAGAGTCCACAGGTCCCAAGCTGACCAGCACCTTGGGGACCTTGGGGAAGGAGTTCTAGGCGTGCCTCCCCCATCCCGTGGTTTCTCAATTTACCCCCTAAGTTGTTCTCATGGCTGCCCCACCTGGTGTCTCTCTACTGCCTTGGCTCCAGTTCCCAGGGGCTGACACACGAAACTTCTGTCTCCTAGTTTTATGAGCCATTATAGTCTCCCCTGGCCCCCCGTTTATCGTGGGGGAACAACACCTTCCAATCCAAAGCAGCAGTGGCCGCGGGGCGGGCCCAGTGCCACCCTCACCTGAGCCAAGCCTGCTCTTGTACAGGGTGCCACTGATGTTCCGGCACCGCACGGGCAGCTCGCTGTCGTACACAGACGGGTCCCAGTTATACTTGGTTCCACTTTTGTCTTGGCCAGGAGCAGGAGGAGTTGGAGGAGACTGAGGACCTTGGGCAAAGAAAGACCATGAAGATGAGAAGTGCTGTGACATGCCTAGAGATGCATAAAATGCCCAGCTCACTGCTAACAGCACCTTCTCCCAGGGTTCACGGACAGCCCCTTCAACTGTGGGAACTCTTTTCCTCAGCCCGGAAAATTCCACTTTTTCTACTTCAATGTAATATTTGATATTACAAATTTACCACACAAATAAGTAAATAACTACCCAGAATGAACTCCAGACACTCTCAGACATGTTTGTTCCAGGCCTGGGGAACAGGCATCATGGATACCTGGGGTGAGGGGGGCTGCTGGACCCTTCAGGCCAGTGGTCTCCACGATGCTCCCGTCTGTGTGGACAACAATCAGCGTGGCTTTTTCGGTGTTCAGGCTGTCCCCAATCTGAAGGGCTGTCCTGCCAGACTAGAAGAAAGAAGGCCTCCATAAGTCACCTCCGAGGACAGGATATGGCCCTACATCAAGGCTCCTGCCATTTACCACAAGTAGGGGATGATCACCCAGGCACCCATGTCTCCTCCAAAGATGTCTCTAAAAGACTTGAAAACAAAGCCAAGAACAAGAAAAGGCAGCGCCAGGGCCTGCGTGGCCTGAGCGCAGTGCCCGCAGTCACTTGTCAAAGCAAAAGAACAAATGTGCTCAGTAAAGGCCCTACAGGCAAGAGACAACCCTGATACCTGAGCAGCTCCCACAAGGGCACAGGTCTTAGGGAGGGTCTCCAAAAGACCACATCAATACTCACAGCCAAGGCCTACTGCAGGACTCCCCTCTCCTGCCATGTCCCATCCAGAGCTCTTCACAGAGAGCCACTGGAGGCCAGGACCTCGTAAACCACATTTCCATGTTGGCTGAATGCTGCGTGACCACTGCTCACTTCCTCTGTGCCAGCCCCGGAACTCACCCTGCCAGTTGCACAGACCCCTCACAAATGGCCAGAGACCCTGCTCCCACCCATCCTTGCTGGAGCTTGGGCCCCACCACGGCCACGTCGTCCAGAGAACTCTGGGCCTCAAGGCTCTGTTCAAACAGCTGACGGGCAAACTAGAGACGCAGAGGAACCCATCCAACTCCAGCACTCTGGGACGCTCTCATGTTTTCATGCTAAGAGTATAAAGCCGAGGCAAAGTGAGAAGAAAACCTCTTCTTGCACCTGAAAACATCACCTTCAAATCAGGGGACTTGAGGAGAAGTTGATCATGGAGTGACAGACCCCCAACATGCATGCACCTAGCCCTGGGTTCCTCAGAAGAGGGTCTGTGCTGTTGTGAGTGACTGAAGGTCTGAAGCTCTCTCCTGCACAAAGGGACTGTTGGGTAAAGAATCACAGTGTTTTTCTCATGAAAAGAATGGTAATACATAGGTATTTGAGACCTTTTACTTGTCAGTTTCCACACAGGACACACTAGGCTCTGGATCCTCCTTGTCTGGATGAAAAGGCCAGCCCTGCTCTCAGAGCCAGTGCTAAGCACCGTCCCCAGCCCCCCAGCACCAGCACGTTCTGGGCACATGCAGAGCCTCGGGCATCAGTCCCTCCCAGAAAATGAGAAGGAACACAGACTGCCGCCAGGAAGGAGAGCTGACTGGAAGCACCGGTTGGACTGCGAGCACTCTGACACCCATCGGACATAAACCAAGTTTCTTACCGCTGTGCTGCCACTACTGTAACTGAGAGTGAGGGCTCTTGCTACTCTAACAACGACAACTTTGCCTCCAGACCCACAGTGTCCCAGGTGCGCGATCGGGGATGAATAGACTGCTGCGGCCTGGCCGCGCTCCCAGGGCAGCCCCCTTCTGGAGGCTGCACCCACCCCCGGCACCCGCCACCTGCTGACAATGCTGTCTGCCTTGGCTAGCCAGACTGTGCCCAGAATCACCGAAGGCCTCAGATACGAAATAGCCCGATGCAACATAGTCACAAAAGGGCTCTGGATGAGGCATGAACAGTATTTGAAGAACAACTGGTTTTCAGTAGCTTGTCTTAAGAGGATGGCGGTAACGCACTCACAATGAACATGGGGAGAAGGGCTGTAAATGCCAAGAAAAGGGAAAGCTGGGGAGATTCTTCCCAAGTGTCCGTGGGGCTACATGAACAGAAAGCGCAGCCAGAACCAGACAGGAAGCTGGGAGTTCCCACCCCTCGGGCGCAGGCAGGCGTGTCACCCTGACCGCACTGCTCGGCAGGCTCTTCCCAGTGCTCACATGCTACCCCTTCACAGAAGCCACACTTACACACTTTCCCTTGTCAGAGAAGTCAAGTGAGGAAAAGACCCCTCGGCTCAAATGAGAAGTCTTCGCCTGGCCTTCCAAGGCTCTAATTCCTCACACCGCAGCACAGCCCTGATGCTCCCGAGAGCAGAGTGAGCCGCATGTGCACCTTCATGGCTTGGGAACAGAGCAGACCCTCACGCTGCAGGCTGAACCCTAGGAGGGTCTCGGGGACCGGGAGTCACCCACCTGGGGGCAATGTAGAGAAGCCCAAGGTGCCCAGCGTGGTGCTGGCCACACTGGGGCTACGACCCTCAGTGCAGCTTACCAGAACGTGTCCTGAGATAGACGCCGCGTTGGCCACTGACGTCGTGAAGACATTGTCCGCAGAGGACCCCACATTGGCCACCGTTACCGTGGTCACCTCTGCAACAGAAGGAACCTACCTTAATGCATGATAAAAGCCAGAGCACTCACAAGCAGCCTCCCACGGGTGCCTCAAACAAAGCCATTTCAACAGTGAAAGTCTTAACAGTTTTATAAAAAATGCTCAAGCAACATTTCTAGTCCATAGTCTAAATCATCTCGTTCTTCTAGGAAAAAGAGAGGAAATCTATCCTTCCCCAACAAAGCCACTTACTCACAGTAAAACCCGCCCACGACAAGCCCGCCCCCACAACCTGAGCCAGCCATGGCTCTGCCAAACCCCCCTTTGGCTTCTTCCTCCTTCTGCAAAGAGCTGCAAAGCCTACGGATCAGACAAGCCCCACACCCAGCTAGATTCCTGCTGTCCGGCCAACACAGAGCAGGCTCCAGTCTTGCTTCTTCTCTTCCCTCCTGGGTCCTCAATGGCCGCGGTTTAGGCCACCACTGTTGGATGACCGCAGACTCATGCTCACTATCTCTGCCCTGGTCTCTGATGCTTTCCGCAGCTTCCTCCACAAAAGCATGTCCAACCTGCCTGTACCCCTCAGTGCCACCCGTGTCACCCCTACAGCATGGAATGTAGCCCCTCAGCATGCAGACAGGCCCTTCCAGCAGTGACTGCACCCAGGATGGGTTCCAGGAAGGGCTGCTGCACCCCACCTCTTGCTTCCTGTTACCCCAGATAGGCCACAAAGCCCCGGCCACCAATGCCCTTCACACCTCCCTCCAACCTCTGCCAAGCCTTTCCCTGATGCTCCTGGGCTGAACAAGTGCCCTGTCACCCAGCATTCTAGATTGTCCTGTGCCCAGTGCTGTCTCTGGCATAGGAAGGGGCTCAAAAGATACTGGCTAATTAGTCTTGCCCACACCATTAACCAACACTCACTGAACTGCACTGAAAGCTCCTGTTCACCTGTCTGTCTCCCAGGCCACAAGGAGTGCAGCTGACTCACCCTTGCCTCTCAGCCAGCACTGACACAGCAAGGCCCAGCAGGGTGGGCCAGGCTGCTCACACTGAGAGCATATGTCTGAACACAGAGCCTAAAGACAGCTCAAGCAGCATCTGCACAAAGGCGGCCTCTGGTGGGCAGCTTGTCCTGCTGAGTTACCTAAACCTGGAAATTACCTGACTTCAGTACGTCATAACAAAAATTTTAACATGCTTTAACACATCAAAACACAACTAAAAGATTTTGCAGGAAAAATGCATGTCAACATGTTTCTCTGACATCATGGTGGGTGGCATCCCATTTCTTTTTTTTTTTTTAAATCTCTTCTTTACTATTTTTTTCATAGATATTTTCTTTTTTTTTTTTTTTTTTTTTTTTGTCTTTTTTCGTGACCGGCAACGGATCGCAACCCTCAGTGTCGCGCCCGTACTGGACCGGGACCGGCCACGGGATCGCAACCCTCGGTGTTGCTCCCGCCCCTCGCTCAGCCAGTGAGCAGCCGGTCTGTATGCGGGATCCGAACCCTCGGCGGGAGCGCCACCGCGCTTCCCAAGCGGCGCACTATAGCAGTACGCCACCGGGCCGGCCCTGGCATCACATTTCTTTTCTGCATTCAGAGAGCACATGCAGAAAGACAAAGCCCGAGGTACGACTTCATGGCCCCAAACCCCAACGTCAAACCAGAGTTCAGCAATGAAAACTGGACCTCAAAGAGCCATAAAGCCTCCCCTCACTTTTGCGAGCAGCTCAACAGACCACTGGCCAGAGGCACAGAGCCAGGGCAGAACCCAGACTGCTGGCCCCTCCACCCAGGCCCAGTGGGTCTGCAAAAACACCCAGAGCAACTACACAACAGCTCTGATGTGCCCAATTCCAAAACCTGCAAAGCTCCCAATGGGCAAAGTGCCTCACAATGCTCCTCCTAGAGTCTGAACACTCAATCGCAAGTGTTCCTGGAACACTCAGTAGCTGTACCTGTGAAGAGGGTACAAAGCGTGAGAAAGTCTCTACCATCCACTCACACGTGAGCTGGGACACGGGATGGCTGCAGGGTGGCAGTCTGGGGAGGCAACACCTTT